TTTTTTTTTATAAATCCTTTTTTTTTCCTATTTTTTCTTGTTTTTCTTCTTCTTCGTTTTTTTCAGCTGCTGTTTCAAGTTTTGTTTTTTTGCTGTATATAGAGTAGGTTCCTTATGGAAAGGTGTAGAGAGGTGGATGGATGGAAGGATTGAAGGATTGGGGAGGGGGGAAAAAAAGGGAGAAAAAGGGAAAAAAGGGGGACAAAAGGGATAAAAAAAGAAAAAAAAAAAAGAAAGAAAAAAAAAAGGGCTAGCCGCGAGATGAGTTAAGGAGGGTTAAGAGTTTAGATGACGGGTATTTTCTGCTAATCTTTTTCTTTTATTCTGGAGGGATTAAAAGTTTGTTTTGAAGCCGGGTAGGGTAGGGTAGGGTACCGGTAGCTTATTACCGGTACCTAGCTGATTTCGCCTCAGAATCAAGACACGCGATAAGACGAAGAGTATCTGGGATGGTCTCCGTCCGGTCTTTAAGAAAAAAAAAAAAAAAAAAATAAACGAAAAAAAAAAAAATCATTCAATTTTTTTTTTCATGGGTCGACATAGGCCGAGCTCGAGATGCTTTAAAAGGTGACTGACGGACGACGACTACATCACTACTTACTGCTAGACAAAACCGACTCATCCTTGCGTCTGCGTCTGCGTCTGCGTCTGCGTAGACGAGAAGACTCCGATTAAATATTCCCTCTTATATTCCCATTCCCATGTTCCCTCCCATCCCCGGACCTCCCTCTCAATCTGCTGCAAGCGCTGGATCGAGTTGTTGTTGCTGTTGCTGCTGTTGTTGTTATCATCATCCTTTGGCTCCCGGCCCAGAATCGAGCCCGATGCCGTCCCAGGACGCGCGGAATCTTTGAAGATCTGGCTCTGTCTGGGAGGGAAGAACATGGATGAAGTATAAAAACAGACGATACATTTCTTAAAAGGGGTCTGTACGATGGAGGAGGTGCTCGTCTCGAAATATTACGACGATATAAGAGGGAAGGAGCGCCGGGCTTGGAATAGAGCGAGAGAAGTGTGCTTGCCTTTTATCGATTTCTTTTCCTGGGGATTACGGTATGCAGGATCATAGGGAATTGTTGAGATTGGTTCAGTTCGGTTCATAGATCGTCTGGGCAGATGGCCCTTCGTTACTTAGTAGCAGGTGAGGTTTTTCTGTGACGACCGTTGGAGCCGAGACCTCTTGGTGATGGGTGGGCGTGGAAAGCGAGAAAGAGAAAGACGGAATGGATCTAGCATACCCAAAAGATACTGTGCAGGTGTTTAGATTGATAATACTGACCCGACCCCGAACAAGCACTAGTCTGACAGAAAAGTACATGCAGTGCAATGGGAAGCCGTCAAACCGCTCCCCTTTCCACCCTGTGCTCGGTCTAGCCACGGCGGAATTAGACGAGGAAACGAGAGCGGATCAGCCCATCCCCAACGATCCCAGAACCCAGAGTAAGTAGCACAACAGCATGCGGAAAAGATCAACCCAAAAAGCAAAACGAAATGGGAATCAAGTCTTTTGCTGACAACTCAAAACTCCCGAGTCCCAATCCAACCAGACCCCAGCGCTTCATGCTCCCAAAAATGACCAAATTTCCACTGCTAGAATTAGCCCCGAGCCAGGGCATCTTTGATGAGCTGGTAACACTCTTCCGGCGATTCAAAGACGTGCCAGACATCTCTCGGGACATCCTTGAACGCTTTCTTGAAGCGTTTCGGCTCGTTCTTCTCTTCGATGCTGAGGGCGGCGATGTCGGTCACTTTCCGGATGAGGATAAGTTTCACGAAGCCCTTGTGTTTGCGGTAGCTAAGGTCTCGTCAGTACTCTTGCATTTATGTGAGGTGGGAACTTTCGAAGGAGCAACTAACACTTCCCCATAGGTCTCGGGGTCAGCTTGCGTCGAATCCCCAATACAGATCATCTTGCGCTTGGGCAACCACCCATTGATCTTGGTGATGCGGTCTACCTTGTACTGCTGAGTAGCGACGGTGAGATTAGAGAGAAGGCCTGAGAGGTTCATCCAGCTGGCATCTCGAAGGATGATCGTTCCTTGGGGATAGAACTTTGTCCGGAAGTCACGGAGGAACGAATAGAGGTTGTAAGGTGACGCGGAGAGGTAGAAGAAAGGCGATGCGGGAGAAATCATCTTCTGGATGAAGGCGTACAGTTCAGGCATACCTTCGATTGGCGTGCCTGGAGATACGAAGGTTGATCGCAGAATCCCAATGGGGTCACCAGTCTGCGTAATCTTGATGGTGTCGTCGATGTCTGGAGGCTGTTAGTCACGTCCTTGGAAAACGAGAATCCACTGTTACCAGAAATCACACCCCATCCTTCAGGCTCGGCATACGCAGTCTTCGATTGCAAAATGCCATTTGCTCCTTTCGGCACCAACGCGAAGCTCGCGACAACGGCACCATCCCTATGCGAAGGCACGGCCTTGATATCGCTACTGATGCCATCCCTACCACCCGGTCCCAAATTGATCTCCTGCTGTCCTGCAAACTTAATTTTCACGGACCTTCCTGGCAGGATATTCTGCACAAAAGGTGTCAACCTATCCCGAATCGTAGCCTCTTGCGCATCACCCTTTCCCAGTCCAACTTTCTCGGCGATATCCGCAACGATTGTGCTGACTTCAACGCCGGTATCCTTGTCAAATACGGCTGCGACAAACTCGGCCTCCCAATTTCCTCGGGAATTTCTATAAGCTGTGTTGTCGAGAAGCCAGACGGTGTCGTTGTCTGTTACGGGCTGGGGGAAAGGGTTCCAAGATCCTAGGCTGGAGAGGACACTAGAGACCACGGAAGGGCGGTGATCGGAAGCCTGGAGAGATTTAACATCTGGCAAACTGTTCTCGACATCGCGAAATCTCCGTTCTCGTCGGGTTCTGAGCTCTATGAAGCTTTCACTGGCAGCTTTGCCGATTCCTTTAGCTGTGTCGGCTATAGCCTTTGCGTCGCGAGCAATGTGCGACATGTTGAATGGTAGGGTTTCGTCTAGCAATTAAATGTGAAGTTAAAGTAATTTGGAAAAGCACAGGGTATGAATATAGGAAGGGCTTTTAGGTGGATGGGCGGGAGATGATGGAGAAAAAACAAGAACTCGATATGTAAAAGAAGCAAGATCAGCCTTCTAAGCCTCTCCCTTGGCCCTCGCGGCTTATGTGGTCAGAAGCTCTAGAGCCGTGTTGCAGTCTTTCTTCCGGTGGTATTTTGTTTCAGCTGTGCCTACCCTCTCCCACTGGGCTGACCCGTGATGACTCCCGGGCAGCCTCTTCATCTAAACATCACGTACTGAGGCGGAAAAAAGCCCATCCTTACTCGTCGTCACCCGGTTAGCCTCAATAGCTGGGTTGCGAAATGATCACTAGATCGCTTAGAGATCTCTCCGAGAATCTCTTTTCCCTAAGCATCAATCCATGCCAGCCCAGTCCAGTCACTTGACGGAACGAGCTGATCGCCTACCAAGGCTGGATCTCTGAAGCAGAAAGCAGAGGTCGATCATTTGCTCCAAGCCAAAGACCGGAACAGAGACAGAAGATCACGGGATCGCAGAGGATGACTTGTTGTGCGGGATGCGTATGTTGCAATGCGAGGCCGAGGGGGTGACGTTAGAAGAAGCACGGCATGATCATAATTTATAGCGGCGACTAGGCGCATCGGTTGCACGAGTCAGCAGCCCTCGCTCACTCAGAGGCTTCATTCAACGTCTCACCGAACGTGTACATCAGCATTTCCAACAGCCACGGCAGGATATCGCCTGGACCATAAAAGAAATTTTGCATGGCCCTCAAGAAAACAAGAGAAGAAGAAGAAAAAGAAAAGAGAACAGAAGCACAACTATGTGATGCATATCAAATCTCATCTTCAGAAGACGGAATACATGGCCGCATCCACTTCTCGATCAATTCCCACCCGACCTCCCGCAAGCTTTCCATATCCTATAAGCCTCTTCGAAGAAAATCACAGATCTATTTACAGATATTGAGCGCCTGCCTGGCTTTGTCATCGCAGCAATATCTATAATATATAGCTCCACTCTGTAAAGAAAGATGATGCAGCAGCTATCCACTTCCTCAGATCCCAACATTACTCTTATGGTACACATAAATCGCAAGCAAGAAACCCCCCTGGCCCCCCCTTGAAAATGCAAAAACGGAATAACAGCAAATCGAGTAAATATCGGATAGTCGTGCAGCTATCAGTTACCTGCTATCCCCAGGTCGACTTGGCGATCACGGTCGGTTTTGCACGGGAGGTTTGCAGATCTGCAGGTCCATTCTCGGTTTAATTCTGATTTCCTGGAAAAGCTAGGGACGTAGAGAGAGAGAGAAAATATCATCCGGGGTAGGGGGGGCTGGGGTTTCCTTGAGTTTTTTTTGTTATTCAAGTCTCATATCCGGGCGAGCATATCGAAACCATAGGCACTAGATCTCGTATATTGACTGCTGGATGCGACCATCCTCTCACAACGGTGTCGAGCAAGGTAGTGAACCCCTTCCTAGTTTTATACTTTCATCGTACTAGTCATACTTAATGAATGATAACTATGCTAGAGAACTGGAGATGGATTTTGAGGCTTCTCGTACGTATCTTCAGTGTGTTACGAGATGTCTTATTTTATACTTCTCGTGTCTGATATTGTAATATTTTCTTATTCGTTGACAGGTTTTTACTGCTCTTATTATCAAAACGATTACGCTAAATTGAAATGGCCTTGATATCTTCGATTCGAGCTCGATTGATTTGTTGCTGTATCTCATCCCATTTTATATCATCTCATGTCATGTCATGTCATCTCATCTCGTCTCATCTCATCTCATCTCGTCTCGTCTCGTCTCATCGATAATCATCTTAGTAGCTGAACAGAAGGTAAGGTGAAAGCTGCTGCCTGGATGCGAGGCTGACGTGAGAACGAACACATGATGATCGCCACCTCGTGCAACCTACTGACTTCCTTACATTCTGTTCCACTTACCCCGCAATCAAACGCATGCACACGCATAACTTGTAAAAAATAAACACGCATAATTTGTAAGTAAATCGAACTCTCACGCATCATCCTCCCAAGCAGAGTTTTCCCATCCTGAAACTCGTGGACGTACCTGAAGATATCTAGAATGAGAGCAATGGCACCAGCAAGGAAACTACAAACGCCCCATTTCGGAGCGATCCCGCCCTATGCCCACCATGCCATCACTACCCATATGCCGGGCTGGGACAACCTGCTGCGGATCATGGAAAAGGACGTGACGCTCTTGAGGCAGATAACGAGTATTTATCCGAGGATGATGTTGCATAGGGATATCGAGAGTGTGAGTCTCTGTGTGTTTGATGCTCCCTCCAGCCATGCTATCCTCCGAACCTCAAAATCCGAAGCAGCAGTCCAAAGAGCGAAGCAATGAGAGATGGAAGGGTCAGCTAACACCCAGCCCCTAGCTTAACGCTGTCGTCGTGGAGAAATTCGGCAAAGAGGGGGAGGACGTGCTGCTTTTCTCCGCGCCCGAATCCGTCACCTCATGTCAGGCATTTGTCACCTCGCCCGCCCACGGCCTCGACTCCGTCTCCGCCTCAGACGTCACCACGAAAGTCCTCGATTCGAATGTTCGTCTCTACGCCATCTTCTTCCCCGAGCTGGAGACATCGCTCTTCATGCGCTTCTGGATGGACGCTGGCGTAGGCATCTCATCTCGCTTAGCCGAGTCAGCGCTTCAACACCTCGACCTTCTGCATGAAGTCCTCGATCCGGATTCCGAGTCGGAGCCGAAGGTTGAAGTCTCACCCGCCGATGCGATGTTGAGAGACCGCATCGCAGGACTGCTGGAACGCGCGCCTGTTGAGCCGGCGAGAGCGGCCAAGGTGAAAAAGGACGATGTCTATCTTTTCCAGACGGGCATGTCGGCTATCTATACAGTGTACCAGTACCTGCTCAGTAAATACAAGGCTAAGACCGTTCTCTTCGGGTTTGCGTTCCACAGCACCCCGCACGTCCTTGAGGATTTCGGACCAGGCTATAAGTTCTTCGGGCTAGGTACCGCGGATGAACTCGTTCTTCTCGAAGCGTACCTCGAGGAGGAGCGAAAAGAGGGCAGAAAGACCCAGGCGCTGTGGGCGGAGTTTCCCGCTAACCCGCTGCTTGTGACGCCTGATTTGGCGAAGTTGAAAAGCCTGGCCGACGAATATGGGTTCTTGCTGGTAGTTGATGACACATTGGCTAGTTTTTGCAACGTGGATCTGTTGGGCGTAGCAGACATCGTGGTGTCGAGCTTGACGAAGTCGTTCTCCGGATATGCAGATGTTATGGCCGCTTCCGCTGTGCTCAACCCGTCGGCGAAGAGGTATGAGGAGTTGAAGGAGCTGTTTGAGAGACAGTATGTTAATCGGTTTTGGGGCGGGGATGCGGAGGCGCTGGAGGTGAACAGTAGAGATTACCTGGAGAGGTCAATGAAGCTGAATAGGAATACTGAGACGCTGGTAGGATATTTGCAGAATCTGGTTGGGAATAAGAAGAGCAGTGTGAAGAAGGTGTATTGTACGAATACTAGCGAAACGCTGAAGAACTACAAGGACCGTATGCGGCCGCCCACCGCGGACTTTACGCCGGGCTTTGGATGTTTGTTCAGCGTCAAGTTCAAAAAGCCGGAGGCGATCAAGGCGTTCTACAACAACCTCAACGTGCATCAAGGACCTCATCTGGGTGCTCACTTGACCCTGGCGCTGCCGTACGTAAAGTGTTTATATGGAAAAGACCAGCTGGATTGGGCGCAGCAGTATGATTTGCGAGAGACGCAGTGTCGGATCTCGGTCGGACTCGAAGACACAAAGGAGCTGCTGGCTACGTTTAAAGCCGCGTTGGAGTGGGCTGATGCTATAGAGCCAGAGTTGTGGATCTAAAAGAGGAGGTTGTTGCTCTTTAGTGTTGACGACGCCTGCGGTGTGTGCAATTACACAGCAGGGAAGATCGAGGAGATGATATGATTCGCCTCGTATCAATTGATTAGCCCATGATGGCTTTACGGTCCCCATCTGATTTTGAAGGAAGCCATTGCAAAGTAGGGCGCAGGCTAGGTTTTCGTTGGAGAAGGTGTACCGAAACCCGTGATCGATGCCACGTGAGGTACGTATAGCTCGGGTTTGACAGGTATATTCCAGGATGCCCACACCATCAATAATACCGGGATGGAAAAGATAACGATAGCTGTGATGACCAGTATACCGTGGTGCTTGAGCGGTATCTGGATTGTTGTCACCAAGATCCCAAAGGCTATACAGTATCTGCCAACAAACCTTCGTTCGAGAGCCTTTCCTGATGGTTGGCTTTCCAATACGTGACAGGAAGCCAGATAAGTGGCGCCAAATGCTGAATCCAGGATAAATCCTCGTAGCGAAGAGCTTGATGGCTTGAGATTGAGAGACCGCAGCAAAACAAAACACAATGATAAGGAGGGAAACAGAGATGTTGTATTGTTATATATACTGTGAGATGTGTCGAGAAGAGAAGATGAGAATTTGAATGTGGTTCTTGACCCAAAATAGCCCAGCCCAATCCAGCCCAGCCGGTCGGCATGAAAGTGGGAGTTGAGAATGCACGTGAGTCTCGTGTCAAAGTATAACAACGTCATGAAGCCATCGCGAAAACTCTCATCCCAAGACATGAAACCAACCTAACGAGGACGATAAACCCACCAAGAACCAGACGTACATCTTTCAAAGACAGGCAACTCCTTTCAAATTCAAAGCCCGGGATAACCTCACATCTCATCTTCCATTCCATTCGATTCCAGCAATCATGGCGGCAGAAGCAACCGTCAATTGTCTCCCTGCAGAAGTCGTCCAATGCCTGAAGAATGCTCGATTCGTACGTTCAGCTCCATATACAAACCGCAACTGCAGATATCGATACACCAGCTAACTTTCCTCAGCTCCATCTCGCCACATGCACAAACCTCTTTCCACACGTCTCCCTCATGAACTACACCTACCTCCCCTCCACCCCCTACAGCAGCTCCCCAATCATAATAATGACCACCAATCCCTCCTCCAAGAAGACTCTCAACCTGGTCTCTAACCCTAACGTCTCCCTCCTCGTCCACGACTGGGTCTCGCACCGCCCTCCGACCACCAACCGCCGCGGCTCCACCAACGACCGCACTGGCTCTCCACCCCCAGAGGCATCCAGCTCGTCCCTAGCTTCTCTCCTCTTGAATCTAAATACGAGTGCGATGAGCAGTATATCCGCGACGATCAACGGGGAGGCGAAGCTGGTAGAGCGAGGCACAGAGGAGGAGCGGTACTGCAAAGAGATGCATTTAGATAACAATACGTTTACGGAGGGCGCGGGGGGAGGAGGAGAGCCGAGCCTCTGGGGCGAGACGCAGGATGGTGGGAGGGTGATGTATATCGAGGGCGAGGAGGTCCGGGTGGTAGTGGTGAGAATTACGGACGTGAGGGTCAGCGATTGGAAAGGGGGAGTAAGGAATTGGAGCTTGGTAGGGGCCACGGCAGGAGGGGACAATCATGTAGCCGCTCAAGGGCTGGTCAACGGCGTCGCTTAGGAATCCGGGGTATCATGTATAGGTGGAGTATGGGTTTCGTTGTCGTGGCTGGTCTGGGACAGATGAGTTTAGATCCGAATATATATTCAACGCACGTACTAGGACGTAGTAGGCTTGAGCTGTGCTAAGTGGGCGCTTTCATCAATATTTACTTATGTCTAGGTATCCTTTGAGTTCATCGTAGTCATCCCACTTTGCGAAGCTTTCCGAGTCTCTCATGCTCTCTTAGTCTTTCTCTTCCCGTCGATCTGTCATCTCGTGTATTTATTCTCGTGCTATAAAACCACAGTCGAAACCCCAGCGAATCCATAATAGACATTTATGTTCGGAATATCTTCATCTGCGCGATTTTCCCTTATACCCAACCCATCCCATTCCATCTATCCCTTTTTGAAATATATATACATATATATAAACTCAAGTATTATCCCCATCTCTGGAAGAGGTGTTCCTCGCCCCTTCAAAAATGTCCGTACCCCGTTACCCCATCTCTCTAAGACAGACTCCTTTCCCATATACATCAGAGGATCTCGTTAGGTAAGATTCTACAGGTTTCTCAGTTCCTCAGAGCCATCGCCATCGCCTACATCCAAACCTATCAGCAGTATCGAGCCAGCCGTGGGGTTAGTAGGAATGCGGCATGTTGTTTTCTGCTAGGCTTCTCTTGAAAGTCCGCGATTTCCTTCAGCTGGGAATTTTCTCTTTCTTTTGCCTACTCTAGCTAACGAGTTTGAAGGGTTCTGTCTGGCGTATTTAACTAGTCAGTTGGTCCATGGACCCGAGGGTTTCTAGCCAGCCAGAGAATAGGGAACGTTTCGTTTCTATCCTGCTGATTGATTGGTTGATTGATTGATAGAAAGGAGCTCGCAAAGAGAAAGAATCTTTCGGCGAAGAAGAAGAAGAAGAAGAAGAAGAAGAAAAAGAGGAGTCAGAGGGAAAAAAACACCCGCTTATTATAACCCGCCATCCCTGCAAAGCTCCCCCAACTCGGCCTTTCGCATGGCTTTCGCTAACGAGTCAACAGACAGACAGATAAACAGGACTTCCATCCCACAAGCAAGAACATATCCCGCTGCCAGCTTGGCTACCACCACCCCCCTCCCCTCCCCAAATCATATTTAAATAAACACACTTCGTTTCGATTTTCATGCCAGCTTAAGGAATTTCAGAATGGGTTTCGTTTAGCTTATGAAGATTCCTTTACAAGACATCAGTGAGTAGCAGCCAGCTAATACATTTACAATCCCTTCGTAGCTCAGCTCAATTTAAACTTCAAAATTAAACGATAGTAGCTATTACCATCTTTTTCTACCTTTTAATCTCAAAGTTCGTTTCCAAGCCGATTAAATCGGAAAGAAAAGAAGATGATATGAGATCTGGATAAGACTTGTTAATTTTTTTTTGAATAAAAATCTAAAAAAGCAATCTTTTATAAAACGAATAAAGAAATCGGATTCAGCGAGCGGGTTTGATAATAGAATCAGTTCGAAGATGCAGAATAAAAGTTCGCTGGTGCTATTTTCCTTTCTTAAAGATGGATCAGATTTAAATATCCGAATATGTAGAATAAAGAACAAATCTAAATGTTGCATACAGCGGTAGATTATTATCAAAAACTCGG